ATAGACACCCACATATATATATATATATATATATATATATATATATATATATATATATATATATATATATATATATATATATACACACACACACACACATATATATATATAGACACCCACACACATATATATATATATATATATATATATATACACACACACATCACATATGTGATTTTCCAGTACTTTGGCATTATCAAAAAATTAAAAAAACACCCAGTACTAGGGATATTTGTGATATAAGGGATATATGTGAATGCCTTATATACACTCTGTCCTTCGTTGAACAGTCATGACCTCGTACACTCCATTGTTATGCCTTTTCTCATCTTCTTCTACTTTCTCTTCTTCTCTTCTTTTGATCAGTTTCTTTATCTGGAACAAAAGAAAGGAACAAATCAACTTGATTATTAACCTCTAGACACATATAATACAAAAGTATCGGTCATAGACACTAAGTGTGTAAACATATGGCTGGAGATCAACAAAAATACCGCAACAGACAAAGCTGAAATCAGCACTTTCCAGTGTGCATATGTGTAATACATTTACAAGGTTTCTGATGTACAGACATGCAACCAGTTTTAGGTGCATCACATTCACCTTGGGCACGAACCACACTCCAAACACAATGAGTAACAGTAAGAGCACACTGCCAGCTGTCAGAGCCATCACTGGTATCAGTAGGTCATTCATGCCACCCAACTTTGTATTAGCACTTACAGAAGGGGATGGTTCGATCGGTGGCTCTGTAAAGAGAAGTCCAAATAACTAAAGTACAGCCAAAGCAGTATCAGCAGGTTCAAACTATAGCAATAGAACTATGCATGTGTTTATTTATTTATTTATTTGTATCACTTGCTGTACCTTCAGGACAGGAAAAATAAATAAACAAACAATACCATTTAAAAGTTTTGGAGTTGGAAATATTTTATTAATGTTTTTTTTTAATTAGTTTCTAATGCTCAGCAAGGATGATTTTATTTGACCCAAAATACAGTAAAACGTGAAATATGACCTTTTCTGTCAATACTGTTTTCTATTTGAATATATTTGAAAATGTATTTATTCCTATCATGGCAAAGCTGAAGCTTTCAACAGTCACATTACTCCAGTCCTGATCCTTCAGAAATCATCAAATATGCTGATTTGCAGCTCAACTAACATTTCTTATCATTATCAGTCTTGAAAACGGTTGAGCCATGATACTTTTTTCAGGATTCTTTCATGAATAGAAAGTTCAAAAGCACACTTTATTTAAAATATATTTTTTGTAACAATGTCAACATCTTTATTGTCACTTTTGATTAAATGGATCCTTGCTGAATAAAAGCATTAACTTATTTTCAACGAAACTAAATAAGCAAATAAATAAACTAACTAACTAACTAATAATAAATAAATACATACATAATAAATAAAAAAAATAATTAGCTAGTTAACCCAAAACTTTTGAATGAAGTGAAGGCACCAGAGATACAAACATTACAGTCTTGCGTATCCAGACCTTCAGACTGACTGCAGAAGCGAAGACTGTAAAGGGAGTTGCAGACTCTCGCAAGACAAATGAGCAACCGCAGCTTCAAAAACAAGGCCAGTATTATTTGATTATTCATTATCATCAATATTATTTATTATTCATTATTTATTACCAATAAATGAGTCTGCAACTTATTAAATTGAAACCGCTCTTTTATTTGAAATGTAAAAACAGAAGTTATTTTACAAAATCAGCAAACTGCAACAAAGCGGGAGGCACTCACTATCCACTCATCTCCGATCACCTGTGAGCAGAACAGGGTTGGAGAGAAGGAAAAGGAGATGACAAGAAGATGTAACATAGCCACATATTTATACAGTATGTGGGCTTATAAAAATATGGCCTAATAAAATATATTCGAACCAAATGTATATACTGTTAGCATCAGTATAGGCCTACTTGTTTTTTTGTTATAGCCCGTGATAATTAATACATTACAAATACATTGTAAAAATTTAAAATGTACCTTAGAAATGAAAGTCATCCCACTCCTCTATTACGTCTACTACATCGCTTGGATTACAGCGTCATAAGCCTTCATGTTGAACGTGATTTTTCTCCAATGAGGGGGTGGAATGTTTGACGAATTACGCTACAGCACTTATATTATTGCACTAATTGGCTACTGTGAGCAGACAGAGTGTCAATCAATGCAATGGAGAATATGGCTAACATGAATGTAAAGAAACGAAGTTGCTTGTCAGATTTTCCTAACAAGTGACCTTTTTTTTTAAATAAGCCCAAAAAAATAAACACGCAACCTGGGATTTTTTTCACGGATTTGAACAAAAACAGAAGCCTAAAGTTGCATATTATAAGCAGACTTGGCAACTCTGGCAGAAGGTCTGGGAACCTTGGTGGCTTTGAATGGCCAAGGACTGCCCAAGAGGCATGTTTTGTTTTGTGCCGTGTCATGTTTAGGGGCATGGAAATGTCCCCATAATAACAGACCAAAAACTCTTGGACGTTTTTTTAAAGAATCACCCTAAAAGTCTCTGCAGCTTTGGACGCCCTGCACATGGACAGGATGATGGTAGACACTGGCTTGTGGCATGAGGATCCTCAGAGCTTCATGACATCTCGTGGTCATGCAGTAAATATCAACAGCATCCGAGCCATCCAATGTGTTTATTCTTATAGTGGAAGGATTCCTCATTTTTAATCATGGGTGATTTTGTTCAACAGTCTGCCTTTTATGAAAGATGAAGAGGAAGTCATACAGGCAAAATTTTTACAGTTGCAATGGTTTGAAAGGCAAGATGGGACAGAACTCTATCAATCTCGGAGGAAAAAATTCTCTCCTCATCAGATGCTAAAGATCTTTTATGACAAACTCGTGACATTATAGTTCACCCAAAAATGTAAATTCTGTAGTCAATTACTCGCCCTCATGTCGTTCCAAACTTGTACTACTTTCATCTTGGAAACGCAAATTAAGATATTAGATTTAATAACACCTGAAAGATTTCACAGAAGGTCTGTAAAACCAAAACCAAATC